TCGTCACGTGGCAGGTCTGCGCAGGGGTGCGGAGCTGTTGGCGGAGGTAGGCCGGACCAGACGCTTTCTCGTCAGCAAGCAGCAGTCAGCAAGTAATTTTCTCTGTTTATCTCATTGTTGCAGCGTAATGTTGCATTAAGCCTTGCTTTATCTACATATTCACTACTCGCTCCGTAACAATCGCGATACGTCATTCTAATAAATTGCAAAAGTGTATGAATAATTAAGACGGTGTTCGCGGGCGCGATAATTATCAATCTGAAGCTTCGCGAAGTTTTTCCACTTTATCATCGAATTGATTTAAAATAATTAATTTTCTCCATTTAACTGTGTCTCTTTTCTCACTTTTTAATATAGTTTCAAGGTATTTGCACTTAAAATACTGAAATACAAAAAAAAAACAATTGTACAATAACGATTAACGTACCCGAACTGTTGGGGAGTTAAACCTGAAATGTTCACGGCGTATACGAACAATAATCGTACAAGTTTCCAGCGCCATAAGAGTCGATTAATCGGCGCAATTATGTTGCGAAATTCGACAAGCGTGTCGTTCGCGTTGCTAATTGCGATTTGGTCGAAATTTTGTCAAAGGGGATCGTTATTATGAGAGCGTTAATTCGGAGCTTGGAAGAGAGAAAGAGGCAGGAGGAGAAAGAGGGAAAGCCGGGACGCGCTGTTGGACGGACGAACTAGGCCGGGCTACGCGCAAGTGCGCCACTTGATTAATTCAATTAAAACGCGCGCGCCCTCGCTCGCACACGTCGCACGGCGGTCGGCACTTCGCGCAAATAATTAATCTTAACGCGAAATTACTACCGGCGAGGTGGCTGCGCGGTGATTGTCCGAATGAAGTGCCGTCGGTGCGGTTCATAATTATGTGTTTCTGGTCGTTTTGCGCCGCGCCCCGGCGCCGGCGAGAATGGGCTGCTTGGAAACGAATTAAACGACGCCTAGCGTGCGTCTAGCGCCACCGGTTCTCGTCAAAAAAAGAAAAAAAAGGGAGAAAAACAAATCGCGTGCGAGTTTTACAGTGGCGTTGTTATTCGAGTAATTTATCCTGCAACTTACGTGCGACGGCGATGCGAAATGAGATATGAAGTGCCGAAAGCATGCAGCCTCGTAATTAGAAGGAAAGGTCTATTCGCCAGCCACGGAAAAATTTAAATCTCATTTTGTGAATTTTTAATGACTGGCGTTATAAATCAAATTAGGGATTACAACAACGCCATTAACAATTAAATAATGTTTATGAAATTATTGTGCACGCGCAATTTGAAGTAAGAGTCAAAATTCAGATGTTTTACGTCACGGACGCGAACTCGGTGAATTTAATTACGACGATGCGCGCTACTTTTTCTATGAGCTCGTTCGCTATTAATCTCGCGATGCGGGCGCACCAAATTTATTAATCGCGACGAGAGCAAGCGCCCTTATGAGCGCCGACGTTGTTGGTTAGCGCGCGAAACGCGGTCGAACGATAAATTAAATTTACGAGCGTTTATTCGCGGCGCAAGCTCTCGCGCGCGCGTTCCGGAATTATTATCCGCGCCGCGCCGCGCGATCCGGCCGCCAGATAAAAACGCGAGCGCTAATTATTTCGGGCTACGTCCGCGCCGTGTTCTCCATTTGTTCGCCGCTCGTGACTTATTGGCGGCGATGTAACGCCGCTCGCGTTAGTCGCGCACGCTCGTTCGTATCGCAGTCCGAGCGCGCGGCGCGCACCGTGGATGTATTAAAAAAAATTTTTTTTTTACAACGAATCCGCGGAATTAACTCCGCACGGCGAATATCTCGCGGCGACGAGAAGCGTGATCAGCAATTGCCGCACGTACTTTTCAACGTTTGAATAGAGAATGGAAAATTTTGTATAGTTGGCTTTGTCGTTGCAATGAATTTGTTATAAAATGAGAGCTCGCCCTCCCCGGCTTAAGTTGAAGATAGAGAAAACAACAAAAGAAAACGATGAGCATTTTGTAAAACGTTCGCGAGAATGTGTGTTAAAGATATGAATCGCAAAGGCGATTATAGCTTAGTGAAAAAAAAAAAAAATAGCGCTAAGCGACTTCGTTTGTGACTGCAATTACGAGAATTGTGAGGGCTGTTTCTTCAGCCGCTGTGTTTAGGAGAATAAAACGATAAGCTGAACAAACGAAAGATTCCGGTGCCACTCTTTTTTCCGCGCTTTCGTTTATAGAACACGCAGGGAATGCATTACGCGAGCGCGTTAAAAAAAAGCGTAGCTCCGTGTCGCAGCTCCAGCGAGAATATAAAGCTCGGTCTGCGCACTAGAAACGCAAAGGACGCTTCTTTTTCAGTTAATTGCACGTACATTACACACCGCTTGAACAAAGTTGTGCGAAATTCTAAGAATTATACTCGTAAAAAAAAATAAAGAATTCAAATCTTGTGGGAAAAAAAAGCGTTAAGTTTTTGCGTTTGTTTCTTCGGCAAAAAGAAATTATAACTCCGGGTTGGTCGAAATCAATATACGACGGGAAACACGTTCGGATATTCTGCAGTAGTGGTGTTCCGTGTTTGCAGCAGTTGATGAGAGTCGAATGTTCCCTTGTGAGTCAGACTGCCTCGTGCTTGATGCGAGCTGACCGCGCCCGTTAATGGATTTGACAAGATTGAATTATAGACCGCAGCACCGTCGTCCATCCGTCCGTCCGTCGTCAGCAACGCGTTACAGAACGGGGGCCCGAGGGGTCCCGTGTATAAACCGACGGTCCATTCGAAAGTAATGAACCGGGGGGTCGTCAGATCGAGCGGACACACGCGCGACCGCTGCCGATAATTGCACGGCGTGTCGGAAATTTCGTGTCGATTTATCGCCTAGTCGCGGAAAAAGCGAGTCCGACAACAGCGAAGAGGGTAGGCAGGGATGTTGGCAGGTCAGGGGGTGGTGATAATGAAACGGTGAGGTTTATTGCCGGCGACTTTCTCGAGGAGAGTATATACGGCGGTCCTTAGTGCCCGTCCGAGGCTTCCGGAGAAATGGTCGTTCCGACGGATTACCAATCTAATCGAATGTTTGCCACGAAAGGTTTATCGCAGCTCGTTCTCTCTCTCTCGCTCTCTCTCTCTCTGTCTTTCGGATTTTAGTAATAAAGTCGGGGTCGACTAAATACTGGAATCAATACTGTTGCTCAACGAAGAAAAACCTGTATATTGGTCCCGACGTGACTTATAAATTTACGGGAATTTTTATTACACGATTCTTAAATATAAATTATTATAATAACAATATTATACTCAAATATAAATTATACAATATGTTTAAAATTTAATAAAAAAATTAATGTATTATATGATTGATATCTATCTTTATGTAATTGTTTGTATTAACAGCTGTTTAAAAAATGTTCTGGGATAATGATGTAATTATTATACATGCATATAAGATAAATGTACCTTTTACTGAACTTGCTCCAATTACCGACCAATTTACTATTTACGTTTAAAAATAATAACCGTTAACAGTACGATCTTCAAAACAACTGATTTCGTTGCATAAAACTTCATGCAATATATTCTCAGTTGTTTTGACGATCGTACTGTTAACGGCTATTAATTTTTTAGCGTAAATAGTAAATTGGTCGGTAAAAAGCAGTACCTTATATATATATTCTTGAATAATGTTTTTGTTAATAATATAAAATTTCTCTGTTCTCTTTTCAGGTAAGAATCACAACTAATATGGATCGGGGCTTGCCGAGCAATTGTCTGTCAACAAACCGTCATACACGTACGTTATATATTTAATTCATCTTTATAACGGAGAAAGCATTTTGTTGCAAATGTTCGAATAATAGATACAAAAGAACAGAGACAGAGAGATTAAAAACATGTTGTCAGAACACTATAAATACTGTATTAATTTCACTCACAAAAAAATCGGAAAAGCACAATCGTCGACGATTGTTTTTCCGACGCTTAAATATACACGAGTAACACGATCACGTAAACTAACAGGGAGCACAGGAAAGCTCCGAGCAAATTAGAACCTCTTCTCGTAATTACAGGCGCCAAGGCTAATTTCTCAGAGGGAATTAGGACAGCCGACATTTCCTTAAGAGAATGAGATCTGAAGCGAGACGTTCAGTGGCGGTATTTCAGTTACTTTCATTAGATCTTTTCGCAGGGCGAGGCCGGGAAAAGAGAGGAGAGACCGGGATCTGATGGAATAGAGCTTTGACCTCAATTGGCTTCAAACAATTTGCCTCAGAGAATCGGTTTCCTCCGTGATGCTCCTTGCGCGAATCTATGCTTCTCTTTTGAAAACGTTTCGAACAAAAAGTTAAGCATTCAAAGTACAAGCGATGCGATATTTATTTTAAACGCGTTCGAATTTCGAAAATAAAAATGCAATATACAATAGAACTTTTTTCTCTCTCTTTACATAAAAGAAATAATGATAATATTCTAGTGACCCGAAAAACTCGGAAAAGATTAAGTAATTATTTGGATAATCGGGGCATAACAATCTAACATTTGGCAACCGGGACATTGTCGAAGATATCGCGCTAAGGATGATTATCATAGGCTTTATTCTCGAAAACAAACATTAGGGGTGAACTGAAAAGCCTTTTCCAAGCCCCCCCCCCTGAATTCGGCATCCGTAACTTCCTTGTTTCCACTCCACCCTTCGTTCTCGAGGGACGTAAGTTTCGAGCCACGTTAAAACCAACCGTATACACAGGGCGGCGTAAAAATTGCCGCGGAACAAGGCCGAAGGACCGATGGGAATGGATGGAAAACTTTACTTTTCCATTTCCTGACGGTAACCGAAACGCTCGGGCGCGGTAATCTCGGGCGAACGATCGAACTTATACGAATACATCGAGATCCTTACCGCTCCACGATAATAATGCCCCTAAATTGGTAGACCGGGTGGCGCGAAGCCGACTGTCTGTGTGTGTGCGCGCACGTGCGCACACACCGTTCACGCCCCGATGTCCCGCGTGAGAGTTCCGTCTTTTATTATCCTACTAAGATTACATGTTCTCGCGTAAACTTGCGAGCTTAACCGTAAAGGAAGTCGCGCCCGCTCCCGCCGAGGGGTAGACTTCGCATGGCCGACTCATCTAACTGCACTTGCGGATCCGTTCGGCTCTGTTTGCAGTATTTCGACGCTTTCGAAGGTACTAGCGGCGCCCGTAGTAATGGGTAGAGGTCTGTTAGAGTAATTGTAATACAGGACTGAAAATGAGATTGTAACATTTTCTAATGATAACGTTCCCGAGTTCAATGTTCCAAAGCGAGTATACGAGTCGCGATAATAGCCGAAAGCGCCGAAAACTGTTAAAACTGAAATTAACTTGAAATTTATTAATGTATGCGTGAAATTTAATTAATTTTAAGAATTATTCTATTAACTCTGAGAGAGAATTAGAGAACAATCCGCGAAAGTGCCCAATTTAGCGCGGGCCATCCATCAATTTAAATATATTTGTTATATCGCGAGATATCGAGCGTTATACGAATTTTTTTATTAGAATAAACTCAATCTTTGCGCTCGGCACTTCTCGCCTAAGGCTGGTGAAAAATATTAACGCACTTCGAACAGTGGGCCGTACGCGATCGTAATTGAATCGGTCTGGGCGCTTCGAGCGAGATTGCCAGCGCTCGCGACCGCGCGTATCGCCGCACGGTAGCTTATTATTGTTTGATTACGTACCCCAGGAGTTTGTGATATTTCGTAAGCAAGCAAAGGGTTGCGATGAGATTGGATGGCAAGCGCGTTGCCTAACCGAACCACCGCTCGTAGGAAGTGATTGCACGTCTCCTCTGTACACGTGCATCCGTGCGTGCGGCTGCATGGTTTAGCGTATTGAATCTTAGATGTTAGAGAATCTTGACTGCTTCGAGAAACCGAAACGTCGTTTGTTTTGACAAATTGATTCCGCTTAATTTTATAGCGCTGCGAAAATCGCAAAGTATTATTCTTTTTTTAACACGCAATTATTTAAGTGTTTCCAATCGTCGCGGAGACCTTTGACGCTTTTATTATTCGGCAAATGTGAATTTATTATTGCATCATAGAATTCCTATATACTTGGGGCCCGTCGATAAAAGTAACTAAGAAATGCATATCAAAGTGTTACATAAAAGTCTATTTGTGTGCCAAAGTAATCTTTATCTCGCGAGAAGGAAATTCCAGCTCTGAGAAACGCTTGCCATCCAGCCGTTTGGGAAAGAGCCGGCAGTATTCTACTTCTCGTGGCGCTCGCCAGACGTACGTTTCCGTTTATCGGCCATGCACGTTTCCCATTTCGCGTACGGTAAACAGCTCTAAATAGAAATCACCTATCGTGTGCGATATCGAGACGCGATATAGAGAGCAGCGCGGCTGGCCGGGCTATAGCGCAGCTGCTTGAGACGTTTCCGCCTTTCAACGACTGCAAAGTTATGCCTCACGTGAAGGTTACTAGAGCGACTCGGTTCCCGGCTGGTTGGCAACCGACGAAAGGACCTCTGTCCGCTCCTGGAAAATTTCTGTGCGCTATGTTGAGCCGGCGAGAATCCATCCGTCGCACGGCTATCGCTCCTTCGCACAAACTCGGAGAGAGAGAGGGGGGGCGGGAAGGGAGAGAGGGAGGGATAGAGTTCTCGCGCGAGAAGATTTCTTTCTCCGTTTGCGAGTCGACGTATCGACGCGAGATATATCGGCCGTGCTTTGACAATGTACTTGCACAACGCGTCGAGAAAACGTGCGCATGCCAAGTATGAAGATACCGAACCGCGGAACGTCAGAAGAAGATACTCGGTTCGAGTAATACTTTCAGATTCCACCAAACGAAAATTTTTACAAATGACATTCCACATTATATATTATACAATTGTTAATTTTTGTCAGAACTGTCTCTAAGGATATAAAAAGTAAGAAAAAAGTTATTTTTTTCTAATAATAAATAAACTAATTTTTTGCGCGCTTTTCTTTCTATAATTTCTAAGATTAAATTATTCTTTCTTATTCCGTAGATTTAATTCACTCAAAGAGAAATGATGGTCTTCAATCAAAAATGACTCCCCATCGACATCATTTTTGATAAAATTCTAGGTTTTATTTAGATTTGTTAACCCAGAAATGAAACGTACATGTCGTGTAAAAAACCATTGCAGTTAAGATCGTCGAGTCAAGAGAAAATCTCTGGTTAACATAGCTATGTAACGAGCTATTCCAACTGTCACGAGTGTCATTATCATTTCTTCGTTTTATAGACAACAACTACTGAGGACATAACGTCGCATAGCACCCGGTTGGGTTATGAAATGTAAAGTCGATTGCACCTTCGTGTCTGCAAACCTAAGCGTTGACCATCGCGATTATGTCTTTAACCTGGTAACTTTCTCTTTTATTTATTAAAAATACTTTTAATTAATTATTTAATTTATTATATTCAATTAATTTAATTAACAGTTTAAAGAAAGCTCTTTTTTTATAAAAGAATATTACATTGCATTTTTATCTAATAAAATTGGAATTTGTAACACCCACCTATAATATTTTATTAATGTCAGAAACGTGTCTGTAGAAAAATCAAATTAACAATAAAGCTAATTTTTTGAGTTTACATATATCGCAGTAAGAATATAATAATAAGCTATGCGATTTACGCGATAATAATCGCTTTCACGTGCTCGGCGTGGCGTAATCGACAAGGACTCGTGGTTCAGCTGTTAACTACGTGAACGCTCGCGGAAAACGTAGGTTTACACGCATAAACACACGCGCATATAGAGGACCCGGTTGGGTCGTAAGGCGTATCTGTGCACAAGGATAACCGGGGGTGAAGGAGCCAGGCTGCTTGCTGCCTCTCTCGGTCGTTGCGGTTAGGGGAAACACGGATACTGTTCATCCAGCCGCGCTCGGTGGCGACTCTGCTTCCGCCTGTCGCTCCTCCGCTGCTCACCCTCTCTTTCCCTTCATCCCAGTGCCCTTTTGTACAGGAATCGTACTTTGACGTGAATTAAATACCTCCGAGACGCTTATGTGCCATTCCGCCGTCTCCACACACTCACGCGGACGCCTTTTCCCCGCTCTCTTTTCCCTCATTTTCCTCGCGCGCCGCAGCCAGCTCCTCGCTTCCGCCGTTGCTGTGAAATAATTATGACGCTCGTTTCGCAGTCCACGGAGCAAACGGAATCCCGATGTAACCGCGACGAAATGCAGTTAACCCCCGGTATCATAACCCGATTACTTTGTTGCCTCCCTCGCGAAGCATTCTGCCGTTTCGTTCCCTTTATTCTTTGAGCAACGCGGACTTTCTTCAACGAGAGCTTGATTCTCTTTTACAGTTTTGAATTTTCGTAAATAACTCTACATCGAGGAGTTAATTATCATACTGAGATTCTTCAAATAGAATTCTCGAAGGTAAATTTTTATCTACAATAAATAATTTGCATATTTTAATACATAAAAAAGAAAAGAAAATTATTTATTATTTATTTAACAGAAAAATGCGCAAAGAAAAAATTAAAAATTGCGAAAAGATCTTTTCGATTATTCTTCACAGATATTAAATAATTATAATTTCTCTTCTTTGTTTGACAATAAATTTGACCAGAATTATTTATCGCAATATGATTCTATTCTTGCTTTCATCTATCTTCGTATTCATTATAAATAAGTTATATTCTTGTTTTGCGACATCCTGTAGATCGGTCTCGTGTTCGCGCTCGAATCAGTAGTTTTTGCAGCGTGACAAGCTAGCGAGTTGCGCGCGCGCGCTCTTCTCGTAAAGC